AGCAAAGAGGTTGACATTGTAAACGATGCATCCTACCCATCCTATTTTCATCCTATTTTCATAGCTATAAACAGAGCTGAACGTACATTCAAATGTGTCCTGCATGCATCCCCATGCTTCAAAATGGAGAGTCTCTCAGCTGTTGACATTAGTGTTTTTTGTCAACCATCTCTCCTGTATAAAATACAAACTGATGCCCTTAGTTCTACACCGTAACAACACTGACAGGCAATTACAGTAGACAGAAAAAAGCTAAATTATAGAGCTTGACATTTGGAATGGTACCTCCATGGTTCAGCCTGCTGCACAGAGAAACTGTGTGAAAGGGATGTTGTGCAAGTGTGCTGCCAGTTATCCATCAGTGACATGATTACTACCCTTCCCCTCGACAGAGAGAGACAGACAGTGATAGTGAGGAAGTAGCTTGGTTTATGTTAAAAAAATCCCTCTTTGGTCTGGAACACTTCCTCCTAAGCTTGTACTGTAACTGAATTCAAATACAGTCATATGCTTTTCATAGTAGTCTGTAACATAAGAGTTAAGTCTTCAAAACAGAAGCTTATAGACCTCATTTAATACTAAATGGCTAAAAGGATGCTCTTGGGAACCTGGTGGTAGACGGAAGGATTTCCCGAAACATTTCCGCATCTTTCTACATGACAGAGGTTCCTCTATTTCTTTCTTGACGGCTAGTAATGAGTTATAGAGCCTATTACATCTTTGATCCCTTCTCGTTTCAGCACTTGTTCAAATATTAAAGAAAAGACAAGGACGAGAAGCAGAATATCACGGGAGGTTAGCTTTTCTTTGATTTCTCGCTCCTTAGACAAGCGCTGTTCACTATAAGAATCTCGCCTTTCCTCAAGTATTATTGATCTAGCTGAAGTGGTTCTGTCTGCCCCCTCGCCGCTGAAGCGCTTCTGAAGCAAGGCTATTTGCCATCAAGTCTTTGTGGACATGCGCCATGGGATCTCCTCTCACAGCACAATCCTCATTTTAGGCACTTTAATAAGTTTCGGCCTACGTTTACTTTCAACTGAAATGACTTGCCTACACACTCAGACACACACACAGACACACAAATAGGGGGGCGTAAGGTAGCAAAACAGGGATATAGAGACCTGTGTGGGGAGGTAGCTGATTTCCCTGGCGAGCTTATATCGGAGCTGTCGTCACCTGTCTCTTCGCCGGGATAGAGGCGCCTTAATCAGGAACATGAAAGTGTCTCCTGTGGTGCCGCCTCCTGTCTCTGTCACTCGCCTGTCGTTTGCTTGATTTACCATCGCCAGAGTATTAGCTAATATCCTGTGTCCAGTGTAAGAACTCATAAGCTTCATAAGTACCAAGAAATTCACATCCATCCTGGTGTGCCAAGTTCTGGTTTCAGTGGAATAAAGTGCCAATAAAGGATTTGTAAAGACACAGATGTAGCACATTGGAATAAAGTGATACTTAACCCCAATCTGCTGCTGAGATTATTTTTTTTAAATGGCGCAATACTTCAGTTTGGTGTATCACAGAATGGGGCAATATTGTGTTGCTTGAGGCACTTTTGTTTCCATTAGTAATATGTGTAGTGTCGATCAATCCCATTTAAACGTGCTTTGGTTTAACGCAGGTAAAAAAGCTGTTTGGAGAGCCAAAGAGGTGTAATTCATTGACCAGAATCCCCCCCAAATTCTTATCATTGATATTCAGATAGCTGATGGGTTTTAAGATTATTGAGTCTCAGAGACCCCTCCTTTGAACATGGTTTTATACAAGGGCATTTTACACAGCACTACTCCAACCAAATCCCAAATACCATCTCTCTTCAAAACACAAGTTATGTTATAATTAATATTGACAGACTCTAAATGACCTCGTCTTTGAAAGATCTTCGGCAAACAAAATACATGTGTAGGCTCCATTTATACATGTGAATTCAATATAACATATAATATCTAATATATTTCCTTATCTGTTGTAATCAATAACAATGGTTTACATCGCCTCAATGCTTTTCTACAATATTGTTTTTTAATAAGGTTGGAAAAGGAAAAAGACACAATGCAGTTGTTATTTTAAATAATAATACGTAGAGCAATGTAGACGTAGAATAAGGCCAAACACAACAAAGCACACGGTTTAGTTAGACTCCCTGTAACCATTTCTCTCATGACAACTGTGGAGTGATAATACTTCCGTATGCATTGTGGGCCTGCATGTGATTGCAAACGTGAAGTCACACTGTTCACCTACTTTTGTGGCGAAGGATTACCTTATCTCAGTAACCAGCAGGAGCTTTTGTCTTCTGCAACTCCACAAGTCTGATTAGTTCTCATTGTGTAACAGTGTAATCTGTACAGATAAAGCCTTTTCCTTAATACAGACTCTTCTAAAGTTCTCAGAGAGGCTGAACACAGCTGTATTTGAATATTCAAAAAGGCTCATTTGAATTTGAAATTGAAGGAGTCTATTTTACAGGAAGTGCGATAACCTTTCTGGCTCTGCAGTTCTTGCATTGTAACCTGAATACAACTCACTCTATTGACTTAACAATTGAAAGATTGGGAAGACCAGGTTGTGCAGGACTCTTTCCTGAGAGAACACCTGGAAAACAAACGAGGACAAATGTGATTCATAACAAGATTCTGAACACATTATATTATGCACATAATCTAGATACTGACAGATTATCTTTGCCACTGTAACACTACATATGAAATGCAACATGATATCATAGGACTTGACACATATGCAAAACGTGTGCCCAGGTCCTGCACAGAGAGCTCATTAACTCCATCCTCCTAATAGATTCACCATGTCTTCATTTCCTGTTTTCCACCTAGTGTGTGCACTCTTCTCTGCCTAAAGCCCATTCAAACACAAGAGTCTGTTCTATTAAAAGCAATGTACATCAGAAAGATAAACCAAGGCAGTGTAGGACAGCTACATGGGCATGCTGTGTTCACACCAGCAATCTGCATTTCTATTTCAGGTGGATCGGACAGAGGTGTACAAATCTGGATGGGAGAAAGACTCTTAATAGGCTTTCAAATCATTTAAATGTAGGTTTAAGGTGTGGCAAATCATGAATAATTGGAGGAATCCGTCATTTTAATTGCACTGCAGTTGACAGGTGACAGCTGTACCCTGTTTTTGGTGAAGAATTCCTGGTACAACTGTCATCTGTTGAAATGTGGCGAGCTTTGTTTTGTCTGTGTTGTCACTATTAAACATCTCCGAGCCTTTTTGAAATGCATGGATAGTGTCTCTGGGGGTGATGGGCTTTCGGTATCTGTTTTTTTTTTTGTGTGTGGGTTACAATGCTTTGATACTCACAGATAGAGCTTTAAGATTTTATTCTAGTCATCACCAAACATTAGACCACATACATTTTTATATCCATTTTGTTCTCCGTGTGTTTATTGTTTCCTGGTCTCTATAAATGCTGATATTTTTGGATCCAGCAATCTAACTAGTTGTATAGAGGTGTTATAGTTTATTAGGAGACCTAGAACATTTGTATTAAGTTCAATATATTTGTTTAAATTAACACTTTTTATAAAGAAATTAAATATATCGCACATTACTTGAGTGTGTGCAAGAGCAGACAGTTAGTGTTAGCTATTGTGGCTGTTGAATAAATAGTTTAAAATTTGAGAAAATAATCTATTTTTGCCGTGCATTGAATGAGAATGAAAAGAAAAGGCAGCAAAACATGACCTGTAAAACATCCCATTATTAAATTGTCTGTTTGGCATCTTCACTGACAGGCTTTACTGACTCTGGTTAGCTCAGCGTTAGACTAGATTTAGTTTTGAAGCTGACGGCTCATACAGATGAGTGACAAGTGTCGGGAGTGAACTTGTTCAGCTGAGTGGCAGGAGGACAGCATTAACAGCAGACTGTGTTGACTGGAGGCAAACTTTGAGTCAACACAGACATTGTTGTGTATCTTTAGTAAAGTAATGCTGCATAAAAGTACATAAGCATTTGATGAACTTGTTTAATCGTCTTTATGTGAAAATGACACTCGACAAGAGGGGGTTTATCGTGACGGGAACATAACAGCCGGAGCAGGACGCAGGAGATGCTTGTGCTCATCCTTAAATCACAAGCAACTGTGCAAATATGCCTTCAGGATCCCAGTTGTTACTCTGTCCCAATGTAGACAATGGTAACCATAGCAAAAGTATCTACTTTCATTCAAAGGGATTCAAATGAGTATCACGCACAAAGCAAATGAATTAACCGCCCCATCTTTGCTCCACTTTGAGGAAAGGTCTGCTGAGTTAAGAGGGAAAGTGAGACCAAACCTTCAGTTGCATTGCAGTCTTACTTGTTGTAGTCTTTTTGTTGTGCATGAATATAAACAGACAATTTTGTGGATGAATGCACGCAGAACATTTGAGCATCTTCATTGTTTTGCACTCTTCCTGTAAAATCCACAAACATTATTTGTCCGACAGATGGAAGTTGATTTGGCCACTGCTTTGTTTTCTCACACTTTACTGACTGGCTGATGAGCTGTTTTGGGTTTTAGCTGTCAGATCTTCGTCTCCACGAACCCACTCGTGCGTGCAACACACGGAGGTGAATGTGAATACCAAAAACTGAGCAGCACCTCATTTTCAGTCGTTCCATGGCAGCCGCTTCTTCCCCAGAGCCCTCTGGCTCTAACCCTCATGGCAGCCCATTGAAACACCTCATCCCATCCCCCCTCTCAAGCACTTAGTCTCCATGGCGATTGAGGTTTTCTTTTTCTTTTTTTACCAAGGGAGTTGTTACATTAGCAGAACTGTATAGAAACTGCTGTTCTCAGTGTATTTAGCTGAGCACTAAGTGGTATTGGTGTAGGCCAGTCATATGATTAGTAAGAAGGGACTTTGAAGCCCTTACAATAATAACAGATTTGACTTTTCATTCAAAAAATGTCATGCTATGTTGGAGCTAACCAGATTAGCCCTGTTAAAAAAACTAATTGAAAATTGTGTCTCTGCTTTTCTCTTTCGCAGTCAGCGGTTTGGTGACGGTTATTGGCCTGTATGGGGAAACACTGGAAATCCCGTGCAACAATGGAGCAGTGAATACAGAGGACACCCTGATCACTAAATGGAAATATGTAAGTCACAGTGGAGGTCAATAGATTCAAAATGGTGGAGTCCGTCTGACACCCACTTATCATGTCTGAACCACGCCCAGTCTGAGTGCACATGCAGTGCCAAGCATCTGTCTCTTCATAATAAAATGCATGAATCGGGGCAAACACTGTGTGCTTTTAATTTGAAATGGATGCCAGTGCCATATGTGACAGATATGTAACAAGTGCACTCTGCTTTTCTCTCCAGGACAAAGGTGAGGGTCTTCCAGGAGACCTGCTGGTCAAGGGGAGAGACCAGAATGTCTCCATCATGACCACTGATGAATACAAGGGCCGTGTTAGCATGGCTGCAAAATCCAGCCTGCTTCTGTCTGCCGCCAAGCTGAGTGACCAACGCACTTTCACCTGCATGGTGGTCTCTGATATCACAGACATCACAGAATATCCAGTTAATGTGGTGATTCAGAGTGAGTACAAGCTTCTATCGTCTTAAATAACTTTTTCTTCTTTTGGATTTCTTTGGTTGAGGTGTTTAATAACTGACTGCAGTATACAAATCACCCACATTAACTCCCCACTCTCTTTTATGAATTGCAGAGACGCCGGAAGGCCTGGAGATCTCTGACAAAGCGGAGAAACTAGAAATTGGCAAACTTACAAAGGTGGGTTTTTAATGATAAACATTGCTTATACATACATTATTTTAAGCAGCAGCCCATCAAGGGAAATCCCGCACTTGAGCAAAGGTATCTTGAGGCATAGCTGAGGCCATGTTACTACAGTAATGAGTTCTTTGAAGTGATTCTCATGAATTAGTAAATAGCAGAATCCCCCTTACTGCAATTAAAATACCCAGAGGATCTGAGTGGCTTTAGAAGAGCTCGGGGCATTTCATGGTCTGTTGCGTAGAAACAACTAAGTCCTCAAATGCCGGAAGGGTGCTACAAAAAGCTAACTTGCTCAGATGTTTAGTCACTTAAAGAGATGCAGATTTATTTGACATGCATTAAACATTGATTGTTTTTCAATATGTGTGTGCAGGTATTTGCTATGATTTAAAGGTGTTATTTGTGTACCTTAGCTCGCAAAGTGTGTTGCCAAGGACTCCAATCCAGCGGCAGAAATCACATGGCTGAAAAACAACACAACTCTGAAAGCTGATGGAAAAGGTGCGTAGCCTATTCTTCAATCTGTTGGAAGATTATAATTAGTAATAGCAACAAAACAACTCTTTAGGGTTTGAGTTGACATTAAGAAATATTACATACACAGATGTATTTATTCTCTCTGACTGAAACAGTTACTGTACATTGTTCTTCAGTGCTGCACTTTCAAAGTGAGAATGTCGCAATTTTGAAACAAAGTTGTTCGTTTTTTGTCTAGGGATTTCCATCCAGGCCTCGCTGCTGGTGAACGATGTGACTGGCCTTTCGACCACCTCCTCCGTACTTGAGTACTCTGCGCAAAAGGAAGACACGGACGCCGTGTTCACCTGCAGTACTAAGAACACTCTGGCCGCAGGGATCGTGTCCTCTCCAGTAACCTTCAGTATCACCTGTGAGTCCCCGAGGCCACGCAAACAACCCACCCTGAAAACACTTGCTGAACTGTTCAAGCTGCTATAACACAAAATCCCGCTGAGAGTTAGATGAGAAGAACAATACCTTTCTGATGTCAGCAGAGTAAAGATAACGCTACAGAAAGTTAGCTTAGCTTTTAGCATTAAGACTTGGGACAGAGGGAAACAACTAGCCTGGCATGTCCAAATATGATTTGTATACATTGAATGAATACATCTTAACTTGTTAATTGGTGATTTGCTAGGAGGTGAATTGTTTAACTTTGCGCAGAGCCAGCCTGGATTTTCCCAGGCTTTTTGCTGAGCTTAGCTGTCTATCGCAATATAATTATATCTAATGGAGAAGATATTAGAGTGGTATCGATCCTCCCATCTGCAAGCTAGCAACTACGGTTATGTAATCATCATATTTCTAAAGAAGATACTACTAAGACAACCAAAATATGGCACATGCATCTCGTGCTTGACCATCACCCTGGGTATTTTGGTAGCCATCCAAATGCTGATGAAGGTTAGACATTTCAAATTCTATTTCAAGTTTAAAAAAAATAAACAAACCATTGTAGATTTCAAGCCAGTGGGTTGTGACTGAATGCAGTCTAATTTGGCAGAAACATGAAAGGTTACAAAAAAACAGCACCAGTCGGTTTCTCCACTTGTAGAAAATCAATCACAACATGTTATACAAGGCTGATTTCAAAAAATAATTCTGTGCTTTTTCTTTCCCCTTTTCACTTTTGAATAGGGAAACAGTGGTTATTTTTTCAATTATGAGCCTTAATTATTTAACGGGGTATGATTATTTTAACTGTGATGTGATTTTCTCCTATTTTTATTATATTTTTTGGAGTAAAAGATAAGAATAACGGCTATTGAATAGCCTGACTTTAATTTTAAGTCATGTTTTTCAACATCACACAACATCTCGCTGGGCTTTTCAGGATTACATGAGCAGCAGCTCCTGACCCACAAATTACAAAGACTAATACAAGCTATTTGTAGTGGAAACAGGCTGTAATTTTATAGACTATATTAACAGTTGTTATGTCATTCTTTCCTACTGCTACAACAAAGAAGAAAACAGTAACAATAACTTTCATGGTGACAGAATTTGTTTTAAATCCGCATTAAATATTCATGCTACCTGCTAAGTGCTGACTTTAAATTCAAATGTATCACTGTCGTAACACTTTCTCACAAGAAGTGTGAAGAGTCTTGCCTCTGCTGAAGTAGAAAGCTAGAGCTCTCTGTAGTGTGATGACACAGTGTGTCTCTGAAGTCAGCTGTTAGGGGAACATGCTCATTAAGTGGCCCTCTGACTTTCCATCTCCTACTTTCTGCCCAGACTCCACAGAGAACCTCATCCTTCAGGTCACTGCTCAGGACTCTCTGGTGGAAGGAGACAGTATGACCCTGAAGTGTGTTGCTGATGGAAACCCAGCTCCAACCGCCTTTAACTTCCACCTTAAGGTACAGGTGCTTATCAATATCTCATTGAGGCACTCAGAGATGTCTTCCATTCATGCTTAATGTGTTGTTGTCTTTTCAATGAGGCTAATCTCCCGCCATTGTATGTCTTTGAAGGGAGAGATGGTGAAAGTGGAAAACGATGATACTTACACCATCACTAATGTCTCTCGCAACACCACTGGTGAATACAAATGCTCTCTCGTTGATGACCCAGCAATGGAAGCATCCAAGGCCATCACAGTGAACTGTAAGGGACCAAAACATGGTGTAGTATGCAGTTTGGCCACAAGCCAGCATGATTGTCAGCACATTTACCTTTCCCGCATGTAATTTTCTTTATAGCTATGTTTATTGCTAGATGAAAGAAAGTCCTACTGTTTTTTTTCTTCTTTTGTTTCGTGAAGGAAAGTGTTGTGTCAAATACACTGCCTCTAATAAGCTGCATTTGCAGGGCATTGAGCCAAGTGCAGGGTTGTGTGGTTAACGACAGGAATGTTTCAACCCTTGTCAGGCCTCTGAACCATCTATTCACAACCCTCTCCTCTCTTGTTAGACCTAGACATCAATTTAATCCCCTCTGGAAATATCGTCAAGAGTGCCGGTGAAGCATTGCATCCAAATCTCAAGATTGATTCCTCCGGAGACACAAAGGTCTCCTGGACAAAGGTAAAAGCAATCTTTTATACAACAAAGCCTGAATCAAGTAGGAAAAGTGTGTGGTTGTTATTGACAGTCCATCCTTTTCATTTGATACAGGACAATGTTAAATTGGACAAAGAGCCCAAGTTTGCCAAGCTGACTTTTGCTGATTCTGGCCTCTATGAGTGTGAGGTGACGCTTGGGCTCCTCAACCAAAAAGCCTCTCTTGAGCTGACTGTTGAAGGTAAGAACTCAGAGATTTTTAGGATATATTATTAGTAGCTTGTTGTTGAGAGTTAGATTAGAGAAGATGCATACCACTTTTGCCACAAAGCAGCAGGTAAGAGCAGTAATAAGCAAGCCTTGGTTTGGGCTCAGGTAACATAATCAGCCTAAAAACATAAATAACTTGGTATATCCTGATGTTTAAACATTCAGACAACCCAAAGTGTAATTGGTAAACTGAGGTACTGCTAGGTACATTTTGTTACTTTTGGACAGAGCCACTCTAGCTGTTTCCCTCTTTCCAATCCTTATGCTAAGCTACGCTAACCAACTGCTGGCCATAGCGTAATACCTACCATAGAACTAAGAGTAGTATCAATTATCTGATCCAGGAAAGCAATTAAGCGTATTTTCCAAAATGTCAAACTATCCCTCAAGTGAGTTCCTCATCAGACAACTCTGTGTCTGTGCTTGAATGAAATGCAACCATTCACGCCACACGTGCACTCATTCAGATGTATCTGAAGGGTTACGTCCTGTTGCAGGTATTCCGGTGATCACAGAGCTGACCAAAAAGCGTGGCGAAGATGGCACACATGAAGAACTGATTTGTAAGGCTGAAGGTTCTCCAAAGCCAGCTGTTTCCTGGAGCATCAACGGCACCCTGGTATGCACACACACACACACACACACACACACACACACACACACACACACACACACACACACACACACACACACACACACACACACACACACACACATATACTGTACATACTCTTGCGGCATTATCCTTTATCATGTAACCATAAAAAAAAATCCTGTTAAAAATCAAATACAGGTATGTGAAACCATTTCAAGATTTCACACAATAGCATAATATTATGTCCATAAATATGTCCTGAATGTCACGATTAAAAGACCGCCTCCAATGACAAATTACGTTTTTAAGAGATCCTTCAGCAGGCTTTCAATGTTTCTGTCGGTCCCTCTTTGAATGATAAATCAATACTGGTTGAAATCCATCTTCTGTCCTTGGTCCTCCTGTACATTGACTGCAGCAGTTAGGCAGCAGTGTCTAAGTATGGTTTATAAAGTATTCAAGGCATATTGTAGATGATTTCTATGTGCAGCACGCAATATCTGGCTTCATCTGGATCTACACAGGTACAACGTTTTTGATTAATTAAAGTGTTACTTTAGGTGTTAGGTACATCACACAACTTCTTAACAAAATACTTTTTCTTCCACTGAAATATACTAATGGCTCCTTTAGCAGTGAAGACAAACCACTGAGATGCTTCTAGTTGTTTCAATTTAATGGCATTTTCATCAAAACAAACCTACGAATATCACCCGCAGAGATGTGAAGATGTGACTCTGTTTAAGCTTATGATAAAAGATCTGAGACTTTTCAGTATCTCGGCCTTGAGACAGTTCATGCCTTGCCGTGCCACTGAGTGACTTCTCCCTCCCTGTTGTGTGAAGAGCAGTTTGCAGTGTTAGTATTTTCCCCGGCTACCACACTTATCTACTCCAAACATTTCTAGACGGGTGAGCTCAGTGTTTCGAAAGAGAACATTTCTTTATTTTTTCTGAGGCTGAAACCCAGTGTTTCGCTACAGACTGTCACAAAGACAATGGCTTCCAATTGGACATTTCTTTTCTCTTTTGTCTCAGTGGTGTACCTGTGTGCACTGATGGCGGAACCGCTCAATGAAGCATTTTAAATTCCATGTGAATCTGAGGGTGTGTGTAGGATGGTTACACTATTTTTCAGCTCTTTCAGTCAATGTCTAACCTCCAAACTTAAACCTGTGAGTCATTATGAATCAACTCGATAAAAAGAACAAAACATACAAACTACAATTCAGTCAAAGTTTATGTTTTTGTTCTCTCGTCCCATCCTAATTCACAAAAGATAGCAATGAAAAGGAATGAACACAGGCTCATTAATTGCCAAGATGTCCACATCTTCCTGTACTGTACACGTAGAAGACCCTGAAATAGGGTGTTGGCAGTTTGTCTTTGTGTCTGGGGCTTTCCCCTGAGACTCAAGTGTCTATATCCCAGAGGCACACATGCGGTGTCTTTGTCATGGAAAGGCTGAGTCACATATCAATCCAACGTTGCCCCCTAGTGGTACAAAAAAACACTCATTCAAGGTTCAAGGTTCTTTATTTATTCATACGAACATAGCTACAGTGTAGTTATGCCGAAAATCTTGTGTCACAGGCTTCTCCAACAGAGCAACACAAAACACAGATAAACAGAAAATATAGTGCCAGTAAATAGTAAAAAAAGTGAAATAGTGCAATAAGAGTCTATATGCAAGTTATTGAAATAAGATATATAGATAAATAATTTTTAAGTAGCAGCCAGATGAATATTAAGGATGTTGTTTCAACAGTTCAGGTGTTTAACAGTCTTATTGCCTGTGGGATGAAACTGTCCCTGAGTCTGGTGGTTTTAGTCCGGATGCTGCCATGACATGTTTAGATATCCTACGTATATACTAATGTGTTTTTTCTCTTACCATTCAGATTGATGAGAGTCCCTTTGTCAATGGAAAGATAACACAAAAGATCAGAGTGGTGCCTATTGAGAATCTGACTGTCTCTTGTACGGTGTCCAATGAACTTGGCGTGGCTACCAAAACTATAAATGTGTCATCCAGTAAGTACAACGTAGTAGTACAGTCCACTCGCCTCTCCCCGCTTTTTGCTCTAAACTAACTCAGTGATCTTCCTTTTGTAGATGTTTTTCTAAAATGCTAACTCACTCTTTCTGTCTGCATGTTGACTTTACATTATTGTTCAAAAACTACTATAATTTAGCAGGTATGTACATTAAAGCTGTTTAAATGGGTATCAGTTAGATTTATTTTTACAAAAAAATAATGTTTATGAACTGACATAAAGCTTTCTGATATATTTACTCTAAGTTACCTACAGTAATACACCATTTTAGTCCATACCAGGCAAAAATAAGAGGTACATGTTTAATAAGACACCTATACAGCGTTAATTCAGCATGTAGAAATTTGTATTTCATATTTTATTCTTGAGTAAAGAACTTACTTCTCTCACATCATCACTGTAACAATCTTATTCATGCATGCACGTATCACTTTGTACACAGTTTTCTCAAAGCCTGCAGTTTTAAAATCATTCTTTGCTGTCTCTTGCTTACTCATTCCTGCGTGTTTGAGATAGCATTTCACCTCTCTTTTCCCCTTCACTGCGTGGTGTATATGTTGGGATGCTGGACTTTATCTGTTCCCTCTCTGGAACTGCAGTACTTGCATGCAAAAGTAGAATACAAGTAGAGTGGTTAAACTTTTCTGGACTTCAAGTTTGCTTTCATTTTTTTTTATTTTGATTTGCAGTTAATTTTATTTCATATCTGATTTCAGTAATTGAGGAGGTGAGAATGGATAAAAAAGGTAAGTTGTAGCAGTCTTCTTGCTTGTAAGAATCGGTGGAAGGTGGGTTAGTTAAAGACTATGGGGAAATAAAATGTTGCACACTGTAAGATTAAATATTTGTAACCTCGCCTTAGGCTCTGCAACTGAATCCGAAACTGAAATCATCTTTGGACACTTTTTTCGGTCATTAATAAAACACAGATGAAGGAATGAGAGGAGTGGAGCTACCAGCATCCTGACAACATGTCAACATTGTCCATAATCCCGTTGGCTGATGAAATTAATCACTAACTAAGAATGTCCGTCATTAACATTTAAGTCAATGAGTCATAACCATACGCAGTGCGGATGTGACCATACATCAATGCATTTATTGCAAATAATGACTATTTTCCTCCCTGTATAAGTATCCAGTCAAGCTGGAGTTTTCTACTTAGTGAATGTTTCTCCCAGATCTCTCATGTTCCTGTTTTGTCTTACAGCTCCAACAGATGAGAATGACCAAACCAAGTTGGTGGTTGGAGTTGTTGTCGCCCTCATCGTCGCCACTCTAGTTTTAGGCCTGGCCTACTTGGTCTACGTGAAGAAATTCAAGTAAGTAGTCAACATTGACCTTTCAACAAAATGATTATGCTGTTACGTAATGATCCTAGCTTTTCTAAAGGTGCATTATGATTTTATTTAGGTGCATGGTTAAATTATCTTTTTACAAATATTATTCAGTATATTTTAGCAGCTATAGATGTATACATTTGAGACGTATTATTGCAGCAGAAAACAATCAAGCAAATAAACAGATATCGATTGTCCCCTTCTGTTACTCTTCTACACCAAGTTCCCAACAAATATACATGGAGCGCACACTATAAATGTTGATTTGTTTACATCTATTCCTTTAACTGAATTAACGAACAACAATTAACCACAGTGAATCAGCTTTGAACTTTCGGTCTTGGCACAGTTGTCTGTTTTACCCACTTAGTAATCAACCATGCATTTGCCAAATTAAGGCGTTTAGCTCTTGATTGATCATGAACTTGTAGCTTGCTAATTTAAGTAAATAATCGAAGTGCAGGAATATGCGTAGCTTCCATTAAGTGCTAGTGGACTTAAGATATTATTCTGTCCATGTGAAGTCCACACAATAATACCATATAGTGTTTGGGTTTCTTGCAAATACCTATAGAGGAAAGGCTTGTCAGCATGTCAGGTAACAATGTTTTATGTTAAACAGGCAAGGAAGCTGGAAGACTGGGGAAAAGGAGAACGGCTCTTCTGAGGAGGAGAAAAAACTGGAGGAGAAAGTGGAGGAGAACAGCCAAAAAGCTGAGGTGTAAAAGAAACGGCAACATCCTGTGGGAATGTGAAAGGTAAAAACATGTTTCCATCACTTTCCCCAAATAATGAATGCATAAATAATGAAATAAATACAAACACAGTCATTCTTGTTTGAATAACATTCATTGTATTTGTTTTTCATTCTAGTGAGAACATGGAACTTTTGCACATTCCTCATCACCTCCTTATTTGAGGGGGAAAAAAACCACGACTGTACATTGGGATGAAAACGATTTGGATTTGGTTTCAGGGAGCATTTTACTAAAATTACATATCCAACCCCCCCCCCAATCCACCTGAGCTCCTCAAACCCTCACCCCTCCTAACCTAAAAAAAAGATGAATGGATACTGTATGTGATATACATAACTTGTCTGCACTACTGATACATGTGTAAACTTGTCTACTCTTAGGATTCATGTTTGTTAGAATGGAATTTGGGGAAAAAGAAGTTTGGGTTTTGTTAGTTGATGCAAGTAGAATAACTACTAGCCCAGTTGCCTTTGCTGTAAGGATGTGTAGGCCTGAATTAGTCTGACTCTTTGGCCCTTGGAGACATAGCAGGGACATTGGGACACCATTGCTTCTTAGCTTCACGCCATCACAGTCAAAAGACCTCTGCCTTCAACAATCACTGTAGTATATCTGTTTATTTGTGCATTGATTTCAGTTTGTTCATTCAGGTATAAAAAAAATGTTGAAAAAGAGATGAGATTCCTGAAAGGGCTTTGGGTATATTATACTCTGCATTAGTTATAGATGGTAATATGATTTACATGTTGCAGGACGTAAGCGATGTGCCACAGAGTTCTTTGGCATCACCTGATTTGTTGGTTTTGGTTTTGATTGTGTGCAAAGTAACCAGGGGAGAAACAAAAAAAACTCAGCTCATATCTGCCTGTTTCTTTTTTCAAAAGGACTGTACATTCAACATAACCACTGTATACCACAAACAGGTAGATTATTGACAGAATGTATAGCATAACTCGCCTCATATAACTGGCTATCATTTGGCTGTACAGATTGTTTTACATAAAGCCATTGTTCGTTTTCATGCAAGAAGAAGTCCTTGAGCCTGTAGCAGGGAAAGGATGTTTTAGGCAAAAGGCTGTAAGTGGATTCATATGTGTGTGCTTCACCAGTGTTGAAGTATGATTGTAGCTCTGGGTTCATTTGTAAGGGAGCACATAAAGAGGACAAGGTGTTTGTGTCAAAGTAGCCGCCATTATATGTTTGCCTTCTTTCGAAAATCTACCTGTAACTGCTTCAGTTTGTCATGTGCACTCGGGTTCATGTTTTCATGTCAGATTTGTGTAGAATACAATGGAATATGCGCAGCTGTACATGTCAAAAAAAATTGGTCCCTTCAGGAGCATTTACTAAATTTGAAACTGTATCAAACCCAGGACGTAATTGTGAAGTATGTGAATTTATTTTCTTTTTGCTATTTATATTGTACAAGATGACATTTCCTGGTAGGCAAATTCAATAATTGTCACATAATTCATAACTTGGATTGAAACCGTTGTTACGTTGCTTGCAGGCTCTACAAACATGTAATTAAGTTGTGAGTCGTCAGTAGGTTGCCCAGGGTCTGCTTGAATAATAGATTCAGCATGTGATCATCTCAGACCTCCTATTAGCTGTTTGTTGCCTACCATGTGTACAACCATCAAATTGGAAGAATGACCAAAGAAAGTGAACATTGCCATGCAAGTATTGTAAATACCTGATGTTTGTTTTTGTACTTTTGTTTAAAATAAAGTGTACATTTGAAAAAATTATGTCCACTGAATATTAATTTTGATGTTACATTTTCCTGTTTTGAAATAAAGAGCAACACGGAACAGTTTTTCCCTTGTATACATGCTAAATATATGTGAAAATTGCACAAATAATATATAATGACTGAACATGACAGAGCAGTAAAATAGTTGCAAATAGTGGTAGAAGATGTTTTAACAAAAGGGCAACATACAGTATACTTCTGTAATGAAGACTAATTTCACATCTCTTGTCACAAAACTGAGACAAGTTAAACATATGATTTTGCATTACATCTATTACTGCATCATATTATGTGTTTACAATCTCATAAAAGCAGTCGCTTTCAAGAGAGGTAGTGTGTGTACCGACATAGCAGCGGTGTAAAGTAACTAAATAGATTTACGTAGTAAGTACTGTACTTATTTGAGATGCTTGTACTTTACTTGAGTATTTAAATATATGCTACTTTGTACTTCTATACAATTCAGAGGTAAATAATATACTTTCACTCCACTACATTTATTTAATACCTTTAGTTACTTTACAGGTATGGATTAATAATGTGAAATATAATCAACACTCAAATAAGACTTGAGTTTACCTGGAGTAAATTCACATGCAGAATACAAAGTAATTCATACAATACATTAATGCATCAATAATTTTAAGAACAACATGTAATTTATATTGTACCAAAATGGATATCTGCACAATGAGTACTTTTACTTTTTGTACTTTAAGTATATTTTGATGCTAATACTTTTGTACTTTTACTTGAGTAGCAATTTGATTGCAGGACTCTACTTGTAACATAGTATTGCTACTCTTTGGTACATCTTCTTTTACGTAAGTACAAGATCTGAGTACTTCTTCCACCTCTGGGACATAGTAACCTAAATTGCCAGGGTGACAAGCAAGTGGAAACAAGTACGTTGATGGATGTGTGTGATCATACCAGATTCAAACCATTCATACCAGTGGCGTAACAAGGTTGTGATTGGCTTCGGTGCAAATATTGTTTTGGGCCCCCCATCGCCCCAAACATAAGCGCACGCTGATGCGCTCACACACGCACAGACATACACTCAAGCTATTACATTTTTTATAATGCTGCCGAACTTGCTGCTGCTAGCTACAGTACAGTACAGTACAGGTTGATTAAACTGTTCGCTCGTCACGCAAGGTATCACATGACATGAAAGGGAGCAAGGTCATTGGACAGAAAAATTACTTAGAATAATTTAGGTTGCTTGGTTACTTTGAAGACTGGGTGATTCGGTCAATGCCATTTTGCATGGGCCCCTGGCCGGCTCTGGGCCCCGATGCGTCGCACCGGCTGCACCGTTGATAGTTACGCCACTGATTCATACCATTTCACTATTAACCTTTAGTTGAAAGCACATTTACTCAAGTACTGTGAATAAGCCTACATTGTAGGTACTTGTTCTTTCTTTCCTTTTCTTCCCCCTTTGCTCCACCACATTTCAGAGGGAAATAATGTTCTTTCAACTCCATTAAATTCATTGCTATGTCAAACAACGACAATCTTAGGAATCTAATTTAACTCTCCTGGTCTCTCTGGAGGGTTTTGCCATAGTGGATAACACTGTGAAAAAAAGCATAAAATCCAGTGAATGAAGCAGAAAAGGCAGTAATGTTTGATCTAATTGATTCTGCATTTAATGCCATTAAGGCCTACAAGGGCAAAGACACCATGACTTTCCAAAAGAAAATGGTATTTGTCAGATAATCACATTAACCGCAAGATCATTTACACATCAATGTTGCCAGCTGGATCAGCCCCATGACTGCGGCAGTGATAGCTCTGTGTATGGTTACTTATTAACTTTAACCAGTCCAGCTTCTACTCTGCCGCCAATAGCTGATACCATACCCCATCTCCAAATACAATGCACACGAAGAAATGTAATCACGGGCCTCCTCATCAGATGGTCTCAACAAAATAAGCTTTTGCTGCCATCCTGTGGTCATATAATGTAAGGGCAGTGTTGGGATCAAGGAAATACTGTATCTGTTGAATGTATTCTGAGAACAGAACCTGTGCTTATCAAAGTGCTTGACCTACAGAATTGAAACAAATATGTATTTTAACTTTGAGAATGACGGAATAAATCTTAATAAGGATTGGAGCCCTTTTAACTTCTGTAAACAATATCTTCATGAGTGGGTTTTGTGTTAACAGCATTATCAGTGTCACAAGCAAAAAGTAAGGTTATTCAAGGTTTTTTTATACTTTAAAACAGATAAATAATCCCTAAGGAACATCACAGATGTATAGGGTTGTTATACGAACACATAGAGGTCAGGGATTCACCACTAAAGCATGTTCTTGTGCCATGATATTGTTAACAGGGTTATCATTACAGTGTCACAAAGTTGTAAAGATCTGGCATAAAAATGAAGTAGCTTGGTTAAAAAAAGAATAGGGGAAATTGTACATGTCTTCTACACTGATTCACAGGTAGACGAAAACAGGCGTCAACTGTCACACTTTAAAGGAAATACAGAGAATATAAAAAGATATCCAATACATTTGTGAAAACAATATAAACTGATGCAATTGCTAATTCCTAGGTACTCTGTACCGCTTAATGGATTTCACACAATATTTGAATTTCTGTAGCAGCATTCAAATAATTTCCGACAAGCGTTTGTTAATAGAGAAGATCACCATAAAAGAATCCGAACAATATGGTTTATGTTTAAGTGGGAATCTATATTTCAAGAATGAAAACACTGTTTCATTTACTACTATTACTAGTATTACATGATCTTGAAACACAATAATCACTAAATGATAAATGCATGATCATGTCACAGTTAAACGTATTACACCCATGACCACTGTGGCATTTAAGTATGTCCTTGGTTGGTCTAACGAAACAAAAAGGATGCATGTCAACATAGATTTAATCTACCAAATTTCTTAGGAACGATTACTATGCAAAGACTTAAATAAAAACTCTGGTGTGACCATGTTTACCTTCTGTCAGAGAAGACAAATGTTGTGAGGCCCAATAGAGGACTTTTTCTTTCTTTATGACTGTCCTTTATCTAACAAGCAAACATTATGATGCACTATTGTGCGTTACTCGTTGTATAATTTTGTATTATCTCTTTACTGAGTGTTATTGTGCTGTCTTTGTTTCAATTATCAAGGGACTATAACTATCAGGTTAACGCTAAAAAGCGTTACCGTGCATCACATTTTGATATATGGGTTTTAAACTGTGCATGGTCCCCTAAAAAAAAGCATTTTATGTACAAAATAACACAAACCGATTTGACTTGATGAAAGCCTATACAACCTTTTCATCAATTTAGACATAGCTAAACTGTTCAAGACCTAACTTTACACCCTGATCTGCATATTATGTGTATGCTGAATGATTTACCTGCCCATTTTTTTGT